GGCTACCGTGTTATAACATTCGAGTAGTCACACAGGCTACCGGGTTATAACATTCGAGTAGTCACACAGGCTACCGGGTTATAACATTCGAGTAGTCACACAGGCTACCTTGTTATAACATTCGAGTAGTCACACAGGCTACCGTGTTATAACATTCGAGTAGCCACACAGGCTACCGGGTTATAATATCCGAGTAGTCACACAGGTTACCGGGTTATAACATTCGAGTGGTCACACAGGTTACCGGGTTATAACATTCGAGTTGTCACAAAGGCTACCGTGATATAACATTCGAGTAGTCACAAAGGCTATCGTGATATAACATTCGATTAATCACACAGGCTGCCGTGATATAACATTCGAGTAGTCACACAGGCTATCGTGATATAACATTCGAGTAGTCACACAGGCTAGTGTGACATAACATTCGAGTAATCACACAGGCTACCGTGATATAACATTCGAGTAGCCACACAGGCTACCGTGATATAACATTCGAGTAGTCACACAGGCTACCGTGATATAACATTCGAGTAATCACACAGGCTACCGTGATATAACATTCGAGAAGTCACACAGCCTACCGTGATATAACATTCGAGTAGTCACACAGGTTACCGGGTTATAACATTCGAGTAGTCACACAGGCTACCGTGATATAACATTCGAGTAGTCACACAGGCTATCGTGATATAACATTCGATTAATCACACAGGCTGCGGTGATATAACATTCGAGTAGTCACACAGGCTACCGTGATATAACATTCGAGTAGTCACACAGGCTAGTGTGATATAACATTCGAGTAATCACACAGGCTACTGTGATAAAACATTCGAGTAGTCACACAGGCTACTGTGATATAACATTCGAGTAGTCACACAGGCTACCGTGATATTACATTCGAGTAATCACACAGGCTACCGTGATATAACATTCGAGTAGTCACACAGGCTACCGTAATATAACATTCGAGTAGTCACACATGCTATCGTGATATAACATTCGAGTAGTCACACAGGCTACTGTGATGTAAGATTCGAGTAGTCACACAGGCTACCTTGATATAACATTCGAGTAGTCACACAGGCTACCGTGATATAACATTCGAGTAGTCACACAGGTTACCGTGATATAACATTCGAGTAGTCACACAGGCTACCGTGATATAACATTTGAGTAGTAACAGGATACCAGTATATACTATTTGAGTAATCACACAGGCTGCCGTGATATAACATTCGAGTAGTCACACAGGCTACCGTGATATAACATTCGAGTAGTCACACAGGCTACCGTGATATAACATTCGAGTAGTCACAGGCTACCGTGATATAACATTCGAGTAGTCACACAGGCTAGTGTGATATAACATTCGAGTAGTCACAGGCTATCGTGATATAACATTCGAGTAGTCACACAGGCTACCGTGATATAACATTCGAGTAGTCACAGGCTACCGTGATATAACATTCGAGTAGTCACAGGCTACCGGGATATAACATTAATGGTGATAACTCGGATGTAACCTTCCTTCACTCACTCACTCACTGACTCTGGGCCAGTATGAGAAACACATGCACGAATCTGTGTTTATTCAGACAAACTGTGCCTCGTCGCCCTCGCAGTTCCATCCCCCCTGACAGGCCCTTCTCCCCGGAATGGATGGGCAGTTGACGGGTGGCACTGATCAATACGTGAAAGCAGTTTTACGCACTGCTTGAGGCGAGAAACATTGATTAACGTTTACCGTTAGTTTTTATCAGCTTCCAGTTGTTGCTGTACAAGTTATAACTATACGTTGTAATCGAGCGAATGACTGGACGACAGGTATGTTCTGGTGTACGAAGATGTGAACCAAGCTTTCTTAAACTGATGATCACGGATCTATGCTCTGACTGGTTCATGGAACACCCTTGATCTAGCATTTTCACGACAGAATATTTTTCGGTAGTACATTGTAAGGGTATCGATTGTCCAATGTATCATTTATGTCACAGGAAATTTCATTAGTTCTACCATCGCGTTCTATATTTTTCATACCGCTTAGGTTAGAGCTGGTGTTATTAGTTATTTGGGGAATGTGAGGCTAGATATGCCGGGCTGTCTTTAGCTTGACTTCCAAATTCATCTTGAAACGGATTATAGGCGATACAGTTTGAAAATAAGCTTGTTTGATTGATTTCGAGGTTCGTGCAGCCCAATTTATCAAACATTAAATTTAGCTTGTCACTACAGTTTATCATAACCATATTTCACAGAACGCTTCAGTAAAATTATTATTCATTTAACGATATTGCCCGGAGGGGCATGGTGTGGGGGAATTATTTTTCAATAATTCTCACTGTGAGCTAAAACACTCCAACTGTTTTAGTGTTGTGATTGTTTGCGGAAATTAATTTAGCAACGTGACGTCATAGTATAACATCGAAACAAATAAAATTGTTTTGCCAAAGAGCAACAGTATTTTCTAAGACGTATTTTCTGATGACAATAAACAATCAAACTTTTCATTTTCTAACATATATAATTTACTTCTTTTGTGAAATCAAATTTTCAAGTGTATGCTTTCTTTTGTCCGGCAGTGTATATATGACATGCGCGGACAAAAGAAAGCGTAAACTTAAAGGCTTATTACTAAAAATGATCGAATATTTACCTCATATAGTGTAAAGTTCATGAGACTGACAAAAGTGTTTCCATAGACAGTTGGGAATAATGTCGTTGTCATTGTAGGACAAGTTAATAACAGTGAATCGATTATTCTTAATTCCTCATACCTCGGTGTGCCAAAAATATTTTATGATTGTCATTCCGTAACATAGTGTTGCCGCAACAAATGACATATAGCTGGAATAGTTGAGTGCGGCGTTTCTACAGGGACCGCCACCGTGGCCCTGTGGGCAGAGCGTCCGCCCATACAGCGTTCGGTCATACCAAAAGACGTTAAAAGATGGTACTTGTTGTTACCCTGCCTGGCGCTCAGCATTAAGGGGCTAAAACAGGGGCTGGTCGGCTCGGGGTCAGTATACCGTGTCTGAGTGGGGTGTCAAACTGCGGCATGGTGTCTCAGTGGACCAGGAACACACACACGCACGCACGCACGCACGCACGCACGCACGCACGCACGCACGCACGCACACCTCCTGAATATTAGATTCCTGGATTATCAAGCCACACATGCGCATGTAGCAATGTCATTTTAACTATTACCGTCTAAACTGAAATTGCCTAGAAAGTAAAGTGACTGGACTCACCGGGTCGTACAAAAAGGGTTTCACCATAAACATAGAAACTTTGTCATCTATCTCGACCGCTTTATATTTAAAAGAACCTGTACGGAAAATAAAACAGATCTTAACGTAACACGGTGTTTAATGTGTAATGGGGATTCATAGAGTTTACAACTCACACAAATACAGTGGTATAGTTATAATCATGATCCAACCGATCACTCTCCCACCTTCTAAACATAGATGCAATTCCGCGTGTTAATGCGTACGTGCACACGTTCATAAACAACCAAGGGTAAAGACTTTTGTTCATATACGCATGGCGCCCTCTACATTATCACTCCCACTGTAACAACTATATTGTCAACAATAGCTTGCATACTTGCACGATCTATGCTCTTCATTCATAAATACCTTTGCCTATAATATAAGCTATGAGAAAGCAACGAGCGAATTTGTTTCTGTCACCTGCACTCAACTGTCTGAATGATTATACCACGGACTTGTATAGGTCCGTGATTATACCAAACGGAAACACTCGACTTTATAAAGAATTAGGCTTGACTTTTTATGATTTTAAAATCAACACAAAACATGCACTGTCAATCCTCAAAGACCCACCTGTAACATGCGTCAGCGGTAGTCTCATATGAACATATAGTATACACGACTCTGTGTTGACCATTGTGTTGCCAGGAGGTATATAAGTAATAAATTTCATTACCTTGAAAAATGCACCACAGGAATCTATTTAGATCCTGATAAATCATTGCACTCATTCTGTGTTTTATCGCCACGAGATACATTGAATAGAAGGGTTTAAGTGTGACAATTTATCACTGACTGGCGTAATTATGACTTGGTTATGTTCCGAGTGGTCGGGGTTTTCATGTGTGCTTATATGTAACAATTCACTCTGTCCTATAAACCTCTGTAAGGTGTTCTTCCTGTCGTTTTTGTAACGATAAAATTCTTATCAACTCATGCTGAAAAGATGTTTGATCAAGATTATAATAATCAATACCTCGGCAAAACTTTCAAAAGGTTTTATGGTAGACATGTGGGGGACATTTACAAATCTGGAGCATCAGTGACAAACATTAAGTCCGATTCCGTATTTCGACTTGAACCATATGTTTCCGGGGTTTTTTTCCAAATGACTTGCCTTTGCATGTGTTTGTGATGAGTGTCACCTGTGAGGCAGGGTACGGTCACCTTTTCGCGAACACTATTTGACAGTGATTCATAATCACATCATTATCATATAGTCGGAATAGTCTAACGGACCATGCTTTTAATAGAGTTTTTATTAAGGAAATGTTTTTGTCGGTTTTTATTTATATTTTGAACCTTCCAGTGAACACAGGGAAATGCTACGATACAATGTTTATAGAAACAGTGTTTTGTGTGAATGACTTTGAATTTATACAATTGAATATTAAAATATCCTTATGACTAATATTTAAAACCCATGAAACCGACACAGTAATGTCATTTGGGGTTCAAAACTAATGTTTCTTAATTCAATAATGTTACCGTTTAAGAATCATCAATTGTTTACAAATCAGATATTAATATTCTCCTCGTCAAAACTGAAGACTACAGCGTCATTAAACAAAGTTTTGCAACATGTCAAGGTATTATATCTAGCAACGAACAAGAACAGGAACATGGCAACCCACGTACACAAAACACAAGCAATGTTCCTGGAAATGAATGCCAAAGAGGTGTGTCCTCCATGTCAACCGTCTTGGTAGTGTCACTCACCTGTCTTCAGTTGTGAACACATTTGAGACTTTTTCCGAAACCATGACACAAGTGTGTGAACCTCAAAATCCTGTCGCTTTTCGGGTGGTTTTGATATAACCGACACAACTTTATCGTACATAAACGGGTTAGACATCTTGCCTAATCGTCCTCGCTGGAAGCAGATGTCGTCTGCTCACAGCCGTAGCAGACGTCAAATGAAGTAATATTGTCAGTTTCACTCTCGATCTCGTTTACGTCTCGTTACAGGGTCGATAAATATCGAGATCGCGGCTGGCAATCCACAGTCGTCTGTTTGTTGCTCGTAGCTGGCTTTTGTGAGTGTCTAAGATCTCAAGAGTACTTCTGTGATTTACCGTTCAACATTGCACTGTCAATATTGAGCACGGTCAAAGGCGACTTCCAAATGGAATGCTCTTTCGTCTTTAGACGTTGCTTGGTGCTCCGGCCGAGTTGTTTATTTATGCAGATCGCGGTACACAAGAATGGGATCATGTTTAACAAAACCGACCACATACACATCGCCGTGCTCCTTGTGCCTCATAGGCTAACTGTAATAATACAGGTAAAAACGTAAGGTCACACAGATCTGTATACTTAATGTATTGTCCTTGCCTCAAGTTGCTGAGCCATAGTCTATAGTGTGCCTTATTATAATCGCTGGTGAAGGTTTAATATGTGTGTATTTAAATCTATAGGCTTTACCTATTCTTTGTGCTGTCAATCATGGAAGATCGCTGAGACCATATATTAGCTTTGCAGTTTACAATTCGCTTATTTATAACACACCTGTCATACATTAGGCTCCCAATTTCGTCAGTGCGAGTTGTTGCAGTTGTGATCAATCACGCATGTCTCAGAGTATCGTGGGTCATTGATTATTTTCATTTTTAGAATGGACGACTTCAAAGTCCAAATGAAAGGTGAAAGGTGGCCTCACATTCATGTGTTCACCCTCCCGCCTCTCTAGTATAGAGTGGTTCATGTTATTTATTTTAAAATCTTGAAAATTGATTTAAATTTACTAAATTTACTAAACTAAATTTACTAAAAGAGAGTATACAAGAAATGGTTATTCGTAGGTGATGTGTTTGTATAGTGAGGATATCACAGTTCATCACTGAAACAATTATTTAATTAAAAACTATTTCACCTTCATAGTGTTTCAGAATGGGAAGCGTTTGGTTGAGGTTAAAGTTCACCAATTTAATGTCGGATTAATAAAACTTTATTCCTAAAGTTTTTAGGCAAATCACAACCCATAAAAACTTTCATTAAAAATAGCAGGTAATTTATATTGTGCGTATTTCCACATTACTCCGGTCACTGGATCAGTGTGCACTCAAGAATCATTCTCAGCTCCCTGGGGAGTATACCAACCCAAGCTGCCCGTTAGGCGCTAGAAGGATTACAACCACATTGCCATCTCATCCTACCGGGTACCCATTCACTGCTGGGTGAACAGAGGCCCATTTCGAACCAAGTCACTTGTCCAAGGAGACGCCACATGTGTTATATTGGCTTCGGCGGGGTGAGTGAGTGAGTTGGGTTCAACGCCGCTTTTTTTACAGTATTCCAGTTATATCGCGGTGTGTCAGCTTAATGTGGGAGGAAAGCCCGAAGTGATGCAGGTCTTAGACGTTTACCACTTCGATGAAACCCACGAGCACGGGTATGGTGCTGACAAACCTAGAAACATAATCGGGGCGAACCGGGATTTGAACCCACAATCATAGGTTTTTGGCGTGCCCAAGGGACGCAACTCTGCATAGCGAATCGCAGCGCCTTAGATGAGGGGGCCACCCGTGCCCCCTCGGTGTGGGACATGACCGAAGCCCTAGAAACTCATAGGAACCAAACTGCCGAAACGTGGTCACCCATCAAAGGACTCTCCGCGGCTGACGTCGCTCAACTTCACCCGACAAAGTAGAGATCAACAAAAAGATTCTTTTGTGAAGAGATTTCTACCATGGAAAACTGGAGATGCGGCAGAACTTATGGGTTTTTTTTGTTTGTTTGTTGTTTAACGCCGCACTCAGCAATATTCCAGCTTTATAATCGAGTCCGCACCAGACAATCCAGTGATTGACATAATAAGCATCGCCCCACGCAATTGGGATACGGTGACATGCATTAACCAAGTCAGCGAGCCTGACCACCCGATCCCGTTTGTCGCTCCTTACGACAAGTCCTGAAGACCATCTCTGCTCAGATCTCCACTGGTCGACAGAGCTCAGGAATATGTCAATGTGTCTGTTTTTTTCACTCAGCTCGTTTTTATACCTGGAATCGAGATGTCGTTCATTTGTAAAATAAAACCTGACCCCTAGAGATGCTGACTTTAACTGTAATTCACATGAGTGGTTGATTTTGTAGGGCGGAAAACTTTCAGATCTGATAACCCAGTACATGTACGAAAATCCTATATTTTACCTTTCAAACACACAAAGCAAAATCGGGAGGGCTTGTATATATATGTTAATAAAACAGTTCAACGTCGATCGAAATTGCCGTTTTATTTACATATAACAGTTACAGATATGTATACATATATATTGAAATATTCTTTCTATAACGTAACTATGTAAACAAACACAATTCCCCTGTTCCATAGATCGTAAAATTAACATTTGAATCTATTTTCGTCACGTTAATTCGTGCTCTTGCAAAGATCCCACGCTAAAAGTTAGTTGACCGAGAATCATTTGCTAACGGGTATTGTCAGTCCCATCCATAAAATCAGACTGAATGGTATGCGTTACGTTGACTTACGACTTGTTCGTACAGGCGATGTCGATAAAACGTTGAGAGCCACGTGGTCGCAATGTGTGTCACATACAGCGTAACTAATACGTCTTGACGTCAACTTGCTCACATTTAATGTACATACCCGCGAATAACTTCAAGCCAGGGAACGGGATTAATCAGAAGAAACTATAAAACTTTGTGTACTTGTTTTTATAGTGGCTCCCGTAGAGTACAAGATTTGCTTACAGCTGACTCAAGGCTTGGATCATCGTGTCAATACAGAAAAAACATCCACAGGCCATACCTGGCCATCAAGTGCTCGATAGATTTAAAAAAGCCAAGACTAAAAGAAATATTATTTATGGTTATTACCAGGGTACTATTTACCATAAGGGGGCGGTGGGGTAGGCCTGTTGTTAAGTCGTTCTCTTGTCATGGGTACAATGTGTGAAGTCTATTTCTAATGTCCCCTGTCGTGATATTGCTGGAATTTCCCCGGAAGCGGCGTAAAACCATACTCACTCATTCTTAATGTTATTTGTTTGTTTGTTTGTTTGTTTAAGTATTTATTTATTTATCGTATCCCAAGTTGAAAGTTCCAAGTGGAAAGTTGCGCAAGCTGTCAAACACTTTATGAGACCGACGCGTTATAGCGGGACTTTTGCTGACTGCGGCGTAATTCAACATTCAATCACTCACTCGCTGATAATGCCGAACACGCTTCATGTCTGCTGCGGAAGGGGACCTACGAAGGATGTCCAAACACCAGCTTATATTAGGTGTCTCGTTAAACTACGCTACATGTGGATCTTGCGAACAGGGTCCACATTCCTCATTTTCCACCTCACTCGTCGCTTCAATATTATCTGACATTGTATCTTCTACTGCCACCACTACTACTACTACTACTACTACTACTACTACTACTACTACTACTACTTCTACTACTACTACTGATGCTGCTGCTACTACTACTACTACTACTACTACTACTACTACTACTACTACTACTACTACTACTACTACTACTACTTCTACTACTACTACTGATGCTGCTGCTACTACTACTACTACTACTACGTCTACTACTACTACTACTGCTACTACGCCTACTTCTACTACCGACACGACTACTACTACTACTACTACTACTATTATTACTACTACTACTACTACGTCTACTACTACTACTACCACTACTATTATTACTACTGCTACTACTACTACCACTACTACTACTACTACCACTACTATTATTACCACTGCTACTATTATTACTACTACTACTACCACCACTACTACTATTACTACCACTACTACTATTACTACCACTACTACTATTACTACTGCTACTATTATTACTACTGCTGCTGCTACGTCTACTACTACTACCACTACTACTACTGCTACTATTACTACTGCTGCTAATACTACTGCTTCTGCTGCTGTTACTGCTGCTACTACTACTACTGCTACTACAACTATAACTACTATAGGGTGGCTATTGCTACAACTACTGCTACTACTACTGCTACTACTCTACTACAACTGCTTCCACTGCTGCTACTACTTCTAATACTACTACTACTGCTGCTGCTATTGCTACTACTACGACTACTACTGCTGCTGCTACTACTTCTACTTCTACTTCTACTACTACTACTGCTTCTACTACTACTACAGCTACTACTACTACCAGTAATGGATTCCAGGTCCGAGCATGTCCCCAGCAACCTATGCTGGTCGTTATTTGCAAGGTGATGGATTGGATTGTTGCTCATGATACTAATCACTGGCCTGTCTGGTCCGGACTCAATTATTAGCCGGCTGCCGTCATATAGCTGGAATGGTGTTGTTAACCCCGTATTCGTGAGTTAAAAGGAAGTTCGTTGCCCTACCCATGGCAGGTTATCAAATCAGCCACGCATCTTGAGGTCACGCATCTTGAGGTCACTTGAATTCAGTACCCTCGCGAAAAGTCCACGTTGACGATCCATGTGTCGTATATTGATAAGTGATGTCAAGGATGGAAATAGTTATCAGGGACTAGGAAGATAAAAAGATAGATGGTACAATTTATATCACCCACTAACGCATACAGGTCTTGGCCCTCGTGGACAGTACTGCGAGATGGGAAAGATCACGATCGTCGCACGGCCCTGATACCGCTAGATGAAACTGGTCTTTAAAACAAGCAGAAACGAAGGTCAAGGACGCTATCCACTTGCTATATAGGTCAAGATAACGGACCCCACAACAGAAGGCGTCTGCTTGGTAAGTTATTTAATGAGTATTCCATGTTTAAGAGACCATGTTGATTAATACTTGTTTTGTGCAGTTACTGTATCAGTGCGTGCGTATTCGATACGTGTACGCATGCGTATTTGAAGTTAGCAAGCTTTCATACAATACCAGTCCGTGACACTGTGAAAATCAGGGGTAGAATAGGTCTTCAGCAACCCATGCTTGTCGAAAGAGGCGACTGTGCTTGTCGTAAGAGGCGACTAACGGGATCGGGTGGTCAGGCTCGCTGACTTGGTTGATGCATGTCATCGATCCCAATTGCGTGGATCGATGTTAATGATGTCAATCACAGGATTGTCTGGTCCAGACTCGATTATTTACAGACAGTCGTCATATAGCTGGAATATTGCTGAGTGCGGCGGTAAACAACAGACAAACCATCTTTTAACGTCTTTTGGTATGACTCGACAGGGGATCGAACCCCGGACCTTCCGAGCGGGCGCTCCACCACTAGTAGTCAGTATACAGTGTGTTAGTGGGGTATTCATGTTGACTAGCACTATAACACTGGCATCAGTCCTGACTAGTACAAGCAGCCACACACCCAAACACACACACATGCATGCACGTCGCAATATTAGAGCAATAATTTTGGACACGACGTTAAACTCGATTTCACCTCACCTCACTTTCAAATATATGTATGACAATATGGTTGACAGTTTATTTCACGTCAATGAAGTTTTTCGTGTCTGGACAATCTTACATCGTCGATGCCTCAGTTTAAGTCTTTGAAGGGCATTTAGCAGTAATACACATAAGGATGGAATTTATGGATGCCAGCTTCTTTATTATGAGGAGCACAACGTTTTGGAGTATATACTTACTCCTTAATCAGCGTTATAATGCTATGAAGCAGAGAACATATATATGTACCTGTAAGAGTGAGTGAGTGAGTGAGTGAGTGAGTTGGGTTTAACGCCGCTGTGAACAGTGTTCCAGTTATATCACGGCGTGTCAGCTTAATGTGGGAGGAAAGCCCGAAGTGATGCAGGTCTCAGACGTTTACCACTTCGGTGAAACCCACGAGCACGGGTGTGGTGCTGACAAACATAGAAACAATCGGGGCGAACAGGGATTCGAACCCAGAACCATAGGATTCTAGCGTGAAGTGGATCTGGTCTATTCATCCTCTGGGGTTTGTACTTGCGATGCTGGTGCTACTGCCAGTACATGGGACTTGATGGCCTTGCCGCTAGAAAAGCTGACACCTATGTTGGCTTTGTTCTTGATGAGGCGGGAGTCACAGGGCCTTAGTAGGGTAGGGTGATTCTGATATCTTAGCTGGGTCACTTATCATCCATGTGATACTGCACGACTAGCCACGACTAGCCATGACTAGATATGGTCACTATGATGCACGTGATTGTTGGCCTAGTTTACCAGGGAACCTACACGTGAAGCCTGACGATACACTTACAAGATCAACACATTCGTTGGGTTAATACAAGCAGAACTGGGACGAATAGAAAAGGTGATTTGGAACACTAAAACGGGTAATATAACAGATTCATTTTTTTCCAAATATGCACATTTTGATGGGAATCCATTGCATTTACTTTGACTAATAACTATTTAGTGTCCATTGTCTCAATTGTCTCAGGCTCGGTGACTTGGTTGATGCATGTCATTGAATCCCAATTGGGTATATCGATGCTCATGTTGTCAATCACTGGAGTGTCTGGTCCAGACTCGATTATTTACAGACCGCCGTCATATGGCTGGAATATTAAACAACAAACAAACAATTGTCTCAACATGGAACTTCTGTCCACAAACCGTTCAGACGTGACAGAGATTTCTACACGAGATACAACATTATTTATCTTACAGCGACTTGTTTCATAGCGTGGGGCGGTCAGGTAGCCTAGTGGTTAAAGCGTTCGCTCGTCGCGCCGAAGACCCGGGTTCGATTCCCAACATGGGTACAATGTGTGAAGCCCATTTCTAGTGTCCCCCGCCGTGATATTGCTGGAATATTGCTAAAAGCGGCGTAAAAGCAAACTCACTCACTCACTCACTCACTCACTCACTCACTCATAGCGTTTGTACCGCTCTTATATTGCACCAATATTTATAGTAACTTTTAAACTATTGGGGGCACGGGTGGCCCAGTCGTCTAAGGCGCCGCGATTCGCTGTGCAGAGTTGCGTCCCTTGGGCACGCCAGAAACCTATGATTGTGGGTTCGAATCCCGGTTCGCCCCGATTATGTTTCTAGGTTTGTCAGCACCATACCCGTGCTCGTGGGTTTCACCGAACTGGTAAACGTCTGAGACCTGCATCACTTCGGGCTTTCCTCCCACATTAAGCTGACACGCCGCGATATAACTGTAATACTGTTAAAAGCGGCGTTAAACCCAACTCACTCACTCACTCACTTTAAACTATTAGCACACACGTGTTTCAATCAGGACGCACTGCCCCGTGTGGAATATTGACCAAATGAAATATACACTTAGTCTTCTTTTTATCAGTAGGGTGTTGACCTAAGCTGGGTGTATCACGTCAGTACACAAACACATTGAATATATATCCCTTCATAAGCAACGCTGTACATCAAAACTGACACCGTCAAGTGTTAACGATGTTTTATTATCGAACCAATTATTTTTCTCTTGAAGAAAGAGAAATAAGTCAATATTTGACCAGAGATTAAAGCTTGCCAATACGTCTGCTCTGTCAACGAGAGAAACGTTTGCCATTGTACAGGTATTACATGTTAAAATGCAGCCATGAAGGCTGTTGTGTCAACTGTATATTATATATATTATTTAAGCTAAATATGCAATAATTCTAAGCACGTGCATTTTAAATCACGTGCATGAGTTTAAATGAGGCACAGATATCGTAGCACGAACTTAATTATTCCCATGTATTACGAATATACAGCGTGGAATTTCCATGCAGCATATTTGTGAGTTTTCATTCATTTATTGATTTATTTTAACTTAAGGCAGTGTGTTATAATTGATTACGCAGTATTTGGTTACTTTGATGCTATATTTTAATACAGATAACGCACACGTACCTGGACATTCGTTATAAATAGACCGCCTCCGTGGTCTAGTGGTAGAGCGTCCGACCTGAGAGAGGAAGGTCCGGGGTTCGATCCCTGGCCACGTCTTTGTTGTTACCCTGTGTGGTGCTCGGCATTATGGAGCTAAAACAATGACTGGTCGGCTCGGAGGCAGTATACTGTGTCTGAGTAGGGTATTCATGTTAAACTGCGGCATGGTATCTCAGTGTGCTAGCACTCGGCATCAGTCCGGACTAGTACAAGCAGGCACATAGCAATATTCCAGCTGAATGAGGTAGGTCTGCAAATAATCGAGTATGGACAAAACAATCCAGTGATCAATATGATGAGCATCGATCTATGCAATTGGGATACGATGACATGCATCAGCCAAGCCTGACCTGGCGCATTATAACACTATGTAAGCTGTATGTAAGTCGTATGTAACCAGTATATGTAAGGCGTATGTAAGCAGTATGTAATCTATCAACATGGTGACGTTGTCCCATGAGGTGTATACGTAGTCATGTAAGATCATTAAGGAACATATTATATATGTATACTTTGTCAAACCGTCTAAATAGCATGAGGGGGCACGGGTGGCCCAGTCGTCTAAGGCGCCGCGATTTGCTGTGCAGAGTTGCGTCCCTTGGGCACGCCAGAAACCTATGATTGTGGTTTCGAATCCCGGTTCGCCCCAATTATGTTTCCAAGTTTGTCAGCACCATGCCCAGCTCGTGGGTTTCACCGAAGTGATAAACGTCTGAGACCTGCATCACTTCGGGCTTTCCTCCCACATTAAGCTGACAGACCGTGATATAACTGGGATGATGTTAAACCCAACTCACTCACTCACTCTAAATAGCATGACGCGAACACTGGGCCCTGTTTCATAAAGAAAACTTCCATGCCCTAACATTGACATTCAGCTGAGATCGCTTTGTGGAATTGGAACCAGGTGATATGAGTGAGTGAGTGAGTATGGTTTTACGCCGCTTTTAGCAATATTCCAGCAATATCACGGCGGGGGACACCAGAAATGAGCTTCACACATTGTACCCATGTCGGGAATCGAACCCGGGTCTTCGGCGTGACGAGCGAACGCTTTAACCACTAGGCTACCCGACCGCCCCACCAGGTGATATGATGAGACATTAACACTTATCTTTAAATTTATAAGGAACTACTTGAATACAATTTGGCATTGGACATTCGAGAATATATGATTATATACAATAAAACGCGACATAAACAACGGGAGAGCTCGACCTTGACACACCCCAAGATAGCCTAATCACAAAATTGCCGACATTTAAAATTTTATGAGTCATTATTCTCAAGGGCGTGGCCCTTTACAAAGGGGGCTCAAATAGATGCATTGATGGCCGTAAAAAGTTTGAGTTTTATTTCAATGATTCAAGAGAATACATGTACATTAGATTCATAAAGGTGAAATCCAAGCCCTCGTTGGCTATTTAACGACGGACTCCATTGACATAAGCCGGTACTCGAGGTGGAGTGTTTGCCGGGGCTGGGTTGTGAAATATTACCCCCCGGGGTAGGGACATACTTGGCACCGTGCACATAAATACCTTCATTGTTTAACAAAGAAAGAAAATATTTGTTCATCTCTCACAACACATTTTGAGAAAAAATAATGACTTGGAACTAAATATTTCAACATATATGTTATTTCATAACGCGTGGTAATACTGTCAATTATCGATTTGTGTATGTACAAATATATGCTAGTGTTTATATGTTATACTGTATATATACAGTCATGCGTGTGTCTGTGGGCGGTGCATGGATATATGCATATATCTGTGCACGCAGTAAATATTGCCCTTGAGAGAGGTAGTGTTTTTTTTGCCTGTGCATCTGTCCAACGAAAATGAACGGTAATGCGTGAGGTTTATATTTAAGCAACATGACGACAATATGTTCTATTGTAAATTGACAAAACTTGAAAAAATTCTGAAATAAAGAAGAATATACTGTACCAGGGGTACGCTTCAACGAAGTCTGAAAATATCTACCAAGCTTGTTTTGGGGACAGAGACCGAGAAACAGGTCATGATATGTTTATGACTCAACTACATGTAGTTTATATTGTAGGGTCTACTCAATATTAAGGTTATTCCGGGGCGGCGATGCATCCTAGAGGGTAATACGTTCATTCGTTACGCCGTACGCCCGGGTTCGACTCTTTACTTTGATACAGTATCATCCCTCACGATAATGAATAATGTTGAACGTTTTGTAAAAATAGCTCTCTCACGTACTGACCTCTCTCTCTCTCTCTCTCTCTCTCTCTCTCTCTCTCTCTCTCTCTCTCTCTCTCTCTCTCTCTCTCTCTCACTCACTCACTCACTCACATGATCACGAGAGAGGCTTACGTGTTTATCTGTACAAGAGTAACCAATCGGATACTATGTGGCGGGATCACGAACAAACATGCGCAGTTGAATTTACGTGCAACACGTAGGAATACGCCCCACGAGACACCATTCAAATTATCCGTGACAAACATGTGAGTTTTTATACCCACGTCTCTTTGTATGACAGAATGTTGCGGCTTATTTCTTGCAGTATAATCGTGTGTTCTGTCAGTGTTTCATTCCTATCGTCAAAGTTGGATGCTATGTCACTGCACGGCGCCAGCCGCCTTGCCTTATTTTTTCTGGGTTTGAAAAAATTCCAGGGGCATGGTGACATCGGGGGCTGGGGATGAGTAATCGTTGGAAAAACGTAAACAATTTTAAAAGAAATCTTATCTTTGTTTCATACATGTATAGTGGTAGGTGTACAAACGAAATATTTAGTTAATTATGATAGTATGTTTTAAAAACAAACCTAACTGGACAATATTACACAAAAACCTTTTTTTATGTCCCGGACAATGATCGAAGGGAGTCAAGGTCTGTCCTGGCGAAAGGCGGGAAACGTTGACCGAGTTTCCGTGTAGGACAGCGTGAATAATTGACGTGTAGGACAACGTACAGTATCATTAGCATTTGGGAGGTAACTCTTATAGGGAAGTATAGTTCATGGTTATATTAAACAAAATACATACTCACAACGTTGCGAGTGTAAAATTTAACAATACGTCCATGTCTCCACTGATCTCGTTTGTTATGGGTGTGAGAACATTACACGGAGCATGGGGATGAGTAATCGTTGGAGAGACTTAAGCAAAATTTTAAAAGAAAATCATAAGAGGGAGACATGTCCCAGACCGGTTTACCTGCCCTAGAGCGCTTGCGCTCCACGCCTGTAGCCGGTAGGAGGCAAAAGGCAGGGTACCAGTCTAGCTCAATCCGACCTTTTTCCCCAATACAGCCTTGGGTGGTGAAACGTTGACTCATTTCCGTAAAGCGGGTCTGCCTGTTGAAAGGGTCGGGGACAGGCCTACAGCATATCGCTATGCCGGAAACGTTGACTCAGTTTCCGTGTAGCGAGATATTAGCACTTTTGGACAGTGTGAATATTTGATGTGTCAGGCAACAGGAGTAAACATATTAGCATTAGGGAGGTACTATTAGGTAGGGAAGTATGGTTCATGGTTAAAAATAACAAACGCACTCACAACGTTGAGGGTTTCAATTTTAACAATGTCTGCATGTCTCCACAGATTTACTTAAGTACAAAATAATATTACATCAACGGAGCTATTACTTTGAAAAGATTAGTTATAAATTTTACCATATTTTTATCACTGTCAACAGCATCATGTATACCATTATGATTGTGTCAATGTAATACTCCTTATTCCTTGAAAATAATAACAAATGTTTCAGGAAGTCATTATTGTGAAAACATATCACTTGTTTTGTTTTCTACTGTCATATTACATAAATATTCGGATTGAATTGTGCCACATTCTTGTTCCTGATACTGAAGGCACCACAAGCAAATTACAGTTTGTTTTATCTTCTTACACATGTGCGCTTTATGACATGTATAGGAAGGTATGCTACAAATATTCTTTGCGCCTTGTTAATCCTCAGGATCAAAGTTATCTTTAACGATGGACAGTGATATTTGACTGTATAACTGTTTGTGGTTTTGTGTATCAAAGCGTTCATAAAATCAGAAAGTCAAGGGAGATCACTCTATCTTTCAACCCTGTCAATATGACAATCTTGAATGTCTCGGAGCAAATTCAAATAAATCACCAGCTGTTGTTTTTTTTGGCAATAGAGGGGTTCACTGTTCGGATATTGTGTTTGCTTATAGTTTAAAGAATTACACCGAGTCATTCTACATAACATTAAATCTTTCAATAAATTTAAAGAACCAGTGTCAGCCTTTGACCAATTTCAAGTGTTTACGGCAACTTATTCGTAGATATGTAGGTCACAAGAGTATGTGTATACAGATATATACACCAAGTCATATGTTGTCATAGTTACAGGAAACATTGTAACAATGTGACTACTGAAATATCTTCGCTTTACAATTCGTTTTTATTATATATATTTTTTATTCCATATTTTTTATACTGCATAGTTTTCACATTATTTCACAAATATTTGTACAAGTATCACTTGTCCCAAACTTGTATTTTCATTATTCAAATAAAACTGTTTTCTATAAAAAGTGCCCTTCCCCCGGCTGCCTACGGCACTGTACAGAGGCTGATGTATTAATCAATAGTGGAGTGATGTAAAAATATTTGCTTTTCAAACAATGCATGTCAACCGGACCAACTTTTCACCAACTTGGTATGGTCGCATGCGGAATCAGCAATTGCTTGGTAATATTGTCAGGCACCACGTTATATTTTGTAATGATGATGAAAGATAAAATCATAAACGACTATATACTATTAATATTTATAGGGTCATTGTTGGGATAGGAAAACTAAGTAGTATTTACGTTTTGTAAATATTTTTTGGATAGCAGCTTTGCGATTGGTTCAGTGTTCAACTTTATTCCAAAACGAGTTGACATAGGAACAACCCCCCCTTCCCCCCAAAAAAACAAAACAACACATACTCTATCACCAAATAGACAAACACGTGTAGACAATTGATGGCCCACGGTGTAAGTCATATATAATTGTTATGCATGCCGTAATTTCCTTATGTTTCAGATTTGAAACATCAGAATGGCTGAAGGCACGCACTCCTTTCCCCCAGACTTCGTGTGGGGCACAGCTACGGCGTCATATCAGATAGAGGGAGCGTGGGACCAGGGCGGTAAGTGTGTGCCAGGTATAGGGGACCAGTACGGGGAGTGTGTCAGATAGAGGGGACCAGTACTTGGAGTGTGTCAGATAGAGAGGACTAGGATTGAGAGTGACAGATAGAGGGGACCAGGGTAGGGCGTGTGCCAGATAGAAGGGACCAGAGTGGGGAGTTTGCCAAATAGAAGGGACCAGGGCAGGGAGTGTGCCAGATAGAAGGGACCAGGGCGGTGAGAGTGCCAGATAGAAGGGACCAGAGCGGAGAGAGTGCCAGATAAAAGGGACCAGGGCGGGGAGTGTGCCAGATAGAAGGGACCAGAGCGGGGAGAGTGCCAGATAGAAGGGACCAGGGCGGGGAGTGTGCCAGATAGAAGGGACCAGGGTGGGGAGCGTGCCAGATAAAAGGGACCAGGGCGGGGAGTGTGCCAGATAGAAGGGACCAGAGCGGGGAGAGTGCCAGATAGAAGGGACCAGGGCGGGGAGTGTGCCAGATAGAAGGGACCAGGGTGGGGAGCGTGCCAGATAGAAGGGACCAGAGCGGGGAGAGTGCCAGATAGAAGGGACCAGGGCGGGGAGTGTGTCAGATAGAAGGGACCAGGGCGGGGAGTGTGCCAGATAGAAGGGACCAGGGCGGGGAATGTGCCAGATAGAAGGGACCAGGGTGGGGAGTGTGTCAGATAGAAGGGACCAGGGTGGGGAGCGTGCCAGATAGAAGGGACCAGAGCGGGGAGAGTGCCAGATAGAAGGGACCAGGGTGGAGAGTGTGTCAGATAGAGGGGACCAGGGCAGGGAGTGTGTCAGATAGAGGGGACCAGGGTGGGGAGTGTGTCAGATGGAGGGGACCAGGGTTGGGAGTGTATCAGATAGAACGGACCAGGGTGGGGAGTGTTTCAGATAGAAGGGACCAGGGTGGGGAGTGTGTCAGATAGAGGGGACCAGGGTGGGGAGTGTTTCAGATAGACGGGACCAGGGCGGGGAGTGTGCAAGATAGAAGGGACCAGGGTGGGGAGTGTGTCAGATAGAAGGGACCAGGGCGGGGAGTGTGTCAGATAGAGGGGACCAGGGCGGTGAGAGTGTGTCAGATAGAAGGGGACCAGGGCGGGGAGTGTTTCAGATAGAAGGGGCCAGGGTGGGGAGTGTGCCAGATAGAAGGGACCAGGGTCGAGAGTGTGCCAGATAGAAGGGACCAGGGTGGGGAGCGTGCCAGATAAAAGGGACCAGGGTGGGGAGTGTGTCAGATAGAGGGGACCAGGGCAGTGAGTTTGCCAGATAGAAGGGACCAAGGTGGGGAGTGTGTCAGATAGAGGGGACCAGAGCGGGGAGTGTGCCAGATAGAAGGGACCAGGGCGGGGAGTGTGCCAGATAGAAGGGACCAGGGTGGGGAGCGTGCCAGATAGAAGGGACCAGAGCGGGGAGAGTGCCAGATAGAAGGGACCAGGGCAGGGAGTGTGTCAGATAGAGGGGACCAGGGTGGGGAGTGTGCCAGATAGAAGGGACCAGGGTGGGGAGTGTGTCAGATAGAAGGGTCCAGGGTGGGGAGTGTGCCAGATAGAAGGGACCAGGGCGGGGAGTGTGTCAGATAGAAGGGACCAGGGTGGGGAGTGTGCCAGATATAGGGGACCAGAGCGGGGAGAGTGTGTCAGATGGAGGGGACCAGGGCGGGGAGTGTGCCAGATAGAAGGGACCAGGGTGGGGAGTGTGTCAGATAGAAGGGACCAGGGCAGGGAGTGTGTCAGATAGAGGGGACCAGGGTGGGGAGTGTGCCAGATAGAAGGGACCAGGGTGGGGAGTGTGTCAGATAGAAGGGACAAGGGCGGGGTGTGTGTCAGATAGAAGGGACCAGGGTGGGGAGTGTGCCAGATAGAAGGGACCAGGGTGGGGAGTGTGTCACATAGAAGGGACCAGGGTGGGGAGTGTGTCAGATAGAGGGGACCAGAGCGGGGAGAGTGTGCCAGATAGAGGGGACCAGAGCGGGGAGAGTGCCAGATAGAAGGGACCAGGGTGGGGAGTGTGTCAGATAGAGGGGACCAGGGCGGGGAGTGTGCCAGATAGAAGGGACCAGGGTGGGGAGTGTGCCAGATAGAAGGGACCAGGGTGGGGAGTGTGTCAGATAGAAGGGACAAGGGCGGGGTGTGTGTCAGATAGAAGGGACCAGGGTGGGGAGTGTGCCAGATAGAAGGGACCAGGGTGGGGAGTGTGTCAGATAGAAGGGACCAGGGTGGGGAGTGTGTCAGATAGAGGGGATCAGGGTGGGGAGTGTGGCAGATAGAAGGGACCTGGGTGGGGAGTGTGTCAGATAGAGGGGACCAGGGTGGGGAGCGTGTCAGATAGAAGGGACCAGGGCGGGGAGTGTGTCAGTTAGAGGGGTGATGGGACCAGGATGATTGGTGTATAAGATGGAATGGGTCACCACGAGGAGTGTGTCAGTTAGAGGGGGTCAGGACGAGGAGTGTGTCAGTTAGAGGGGGTCAGGACGAGGAGTGTGTCAGTTAGAGGGGACCAGGACGAGGAGTGTGTCAGTTAGAGGGGACCAGGACGAGGAGTGTGTCAGTTAGAGGGGGTCAGGACGAGGAGTGTGTCAGTTAGAGGGGATCAGGACGGGGAGTGTGTCAGTTAGAGGGGGTCAGGACGGGGAGTGTGTCAGTTAGAGGGGGTCAGGACGGGGAGTGTGTCAGTTAGAGGGGACCAGGACGAGGAGTGTGTCAGTTAGAGGGGACCAAGACGGGGAGTGTGTCAGTTAGAGGGGACCAAGACGGGGAGTGTGTCAGTTAGAGGGGACCAGGACGGGGAGTGTGTCAGTTAGAGGGGACCAAGACGGGGAGTGTGTCAGTTAGAGGGGGTCAGGACGGGGAGTGTGTCAGTTAGAGGGGGTCAGGACGGGGAGTGTGTCAGATAGAAGGGACCAGGACGGGGAGTGTGTCAGTTAGAGGGGACCAGGACGGGGAGTGTATAAGATGGAAGGGGTCAGGACGGGGAGTGTGTCAGTTAGAGGGGGTCAGGACGGGGAGTGTGTCAGTTAGAGGGGGTCAGGACGGGGAGTGTGTCAGTTAGAGGGGGTCAGGACGGGGAGTGTGTCAGTTAGAGGGGGTCAGGGCGGGGAGTGTGTCAGTTAGAGGGGACCAGGACGGGGAGTGTGTCAGTTAGAGGGGACCAGGACGGGGAGTGTGTCAGTTAGAGGGGGTCAGGACGGGGAGTGTGTCAGATAGAAGGGACCAGGACGGGGAGTGTGTCAGTTAGAGGGGACCAGGACGGGGAGTGTATAAGATGGAAGGGGTCAGGACGGGGAGTGTGTCAGTTAGAGGGGGTCAGGACGGGGAGTGTGTCAGTTAGAGGGGGTCAGGACGGGGAGTGTGTCAGTTAGAGGGGGTCAGGACGGGGAGTGTGTCAGTTAGAGGGGGTCAGGGCGGGGAGTGTGTCAGTTAGAGGGGTGATGGGACCAGGATGATTGGTGTATACGATGGAAGGGGTCAGGACAAGGAGTGTGTCAGTTAGAGGGGGTCAGGACGGGGAGTGTGTCAGTTAGAGGGGTGATGGGACCAGGATGATTGGTGTATACGATGGAAGGGGTCAGGACAAGGAGTGTGTCAGTTAGAGGGGGTCAGGACGGGGAGTGTATAAGATGGAAGGGGTCAGGACAAGTAGAGTAGGGATGACTATTGGTCTGGAAATCACTATTGAGAAAACTATTGATATTGAAAGTCACAATTGCTGTAACTATTGATATCGTAAGCAACTATTGCGATAAATATCGATAGTTTTCAGTGTATCATTTTAGATGGAATTTAGCGTTGAATTCGATTTTCCACCTAAGTTTGTCACAAACTCCATTTGACTGTCACCTCCGCCATTTTACTTAAAGGGGCACTGATCTAACGCAATTCCCCGGGACTGGTTGTTGCCTTTGTTATTGTTTTTTCCCAGTGAGTACCCGGATGTATAGCAGAAATCTAGACTAGTTCGCGACCTCTGCTGCGCCATTCGTAAGCGCATTAGTCACTTGTATGGGTAGTAATAAGGGCTTATGGTCACATTGATCAACAAAATGAAATACAGTTTACGAGATAATAAGGAAATGTAGGTATCTTTGTGGATAGCATCGGTAATGGTGACGAAGTTTTGATAAGTCACTTACTTGCTTGGTAATTTTGCGATTTTCGTTTACACTATTTTGACTTGCAACACAAAGTAAATATTTCACCTGAGCATTGCTTTTTGATAGTGGGTATATTTTTTACTGTCAAAATGTGTAACATTTTCAAATTTTTTAAACGCCTAAATATTCAGTTATTTAACAAAGTGACTGAACATTTTTTCCATCTGTGTTATTATGATAACGAATTCCAAACATTTTGATGTTTAATGTCATCACCAAGAGACTGAAAATGTTACGTTGAAAAGTACACTTCTATGTTGTTTGGCTTCTAATCCTACATAATAATCTGTTGTGATGTTTGTAGGCCCTTTTGATCGTCTTAATCAATCTGGACAGATTTTTTAGTCAAAATGACTGAAATATTTACACATTTTATAAATTGCCTGAGAGAATTACATTTTACAAATTGACGGTAATATATACACGCCTACAAGGGAAAAGGCCTGTGAAAACAACGTCTATCGCGCATTGAAGAATTTTTCAACCAAGACGTAGAGAAACAAGGACAAATCGGTTCAATGCTACAGCTAAAGAAGGAAAACAAAATGCAAATACCATAATTACAACCTACCAAATTTATGTGTATAAATTTTAGGCAGCAGCTTCCTTGTTCGAAGAATGTATCTGTAAATATCCACACAAAGGAACAATATCCCACTCGTCTGCAGCTGTACAAAGAAACTTATTCGATGTCACGTGTCTCTGTAACAATCACATATTTTAAAAGATATATATCGTTTCGGGATATTATAACCCGTGTTCGTTTCTCAACTGATCACTTGGATTGTTTCAGGTGTTTCACATAGGTGTCAAGTCTCAAGGGTCAGCTGAGAAAGCCCACGTGACAACTATTTTCATAACGTCCACGGTTCCTAAAATATCCATTGAGTGATAGATAACAATGACCAATCAATCAACCCTCAGTTAACCCTTTGCTTACTTACTTACTTACTTTGGAGATTTAACGTGCGCTTTCTGACTGATGCGTATTTCGCACACGGGCCCGGCCAGGCCATTTAATGTGTTTCCGAAAGGGGCGAAAGTGGTCTGTGCAACCCAAGAGGGGGGGGGGGGGGGGGGGGATTTTAGGGGTTGCTTATATAGAATTTGGGAATTTTGAGATTTGGAATAGATGCCGATGGGATTGGGGAGGAGAACTAAGGGAGCTGGGTATGGTGGATGTTTGTTTGTTTATGTGATTTTGATTTGGTAGGTTATTGTGTTTTTAGATGCGTTTTCTTAGTTCCGTTTTTATTAAGAATACGCCTAAGGCCTTGAAGTTTTCTAGTTCATTTTGTGGGTTTAGTATTGCTTCTAGAGTTAGAGCCTTGTTTAGATTGAGGGTGGTTTGTAATGCGGTTCGATGTGTTAGGTAGTGTGTGCAGTGGATGAGTGCGTGTTCTGGGGTTTCTGGTTGTTTGCAGTGTGGGCAGTTACTTGTAGTGTGTTTTTTTTTAATTTTTAGGTGGTTATTTAGGTTGATGTGTCCTGTTTGGAGTTTAGTGATTACTCTGTCGATTTGTTTGGATGGATGGAGAATTTTTGGTTTGGTTAGTGGTTTGCTGAGCACTTTTTTGATTTTGCTATTTGAGTTTAGATATAGGTTATGCCATTTTTTTGTGAGTTTTTGCTTGTTTACACTTTTAATTTCTGACTTTGAGATGGGTAAGTTTAAGCTTATTTCTGGGATTTTGAGGGATAGTTTAGCTGCTTTATCGGCGTTTTCATTACCGTATATTCCTACGTGGGAGGGTATCCACAAGAAGGTTATTTGTTTGCCTGCCTTAGTTAGGTCGTTGGAGCTTTTAACCCTTTGAACAAAGTATGGTTTTTTGTACATCGGCACTTCACGCCATGATATGTGTGTATTCCCTTTGTTTGAGTAAACCTAGACATGTAAACACTCACTTTTGACATATCCACTGTGCAAGATAACAGTGATTAATCAATCAACGTATTTTCTGTTAATTCTTTGATGACTAGGAACGATCCGTTGATTTACAAAAAAAAGTAAATCAACAGATCATTCACCTCTTGATGGTCTGCCACGTGCATATTACATAACACACATTTCACCTCACTTCAAAGCTGGATTTAGATTGAATAATTACCCCAGACACAATAAATGCCAATTGGGAACCTTTGTCAGATAATCTAAGTGGTGCTACCACTAATTGTACCTGTAATAAATTCATTAACTGAGCATCAAGTGAATGACGACAAATACACAAGGATAGGGTTATATGAGAAAACGTGGATGACAACAAGGGAGTAGTAATCGTATTATCGACGCAATCCGAAATCCGAAAATCCTTTCACTGCATGGATACTTTTTTTAGTGTTAAACTATAACCATCTGGGGTATTTCCAAATGGCGACATCCGATGAGCTCCGCCCTTCTTTTTGTCTGTTAGTTTAGGCTGAAGAAATTAATTAACATGCACCCTTTGTCGAAATCTTTATAGATCACGGTTAACCAATCAGTGTTTAATTATGCAAAAATGCGTAAAACAAATATTGCCTCCAGCCTCCAAGTTTATTTAGCTGTCCTTGCAGACGGTAGCCCAGTCTCTGGTCATGCTCAGTTGCGTTGCGTATCATCCGGGTACTCACGGGAAAAAAAACAATAACAAAGGCAACAACCAGTCCGGGGAATTGCTTTAGATCAGTGCCCCTTTAAGAAAGTCCGGTTGCTAAGCATCAAGGGCAGTTAACTCTAATCCTCACTCGGCTGCGTTCGCGAGCGTGTTTCGGTGACTCAATCGCATTATATGGTAAATACAATCGAAACTATCGATATTCCTAACTGAAATCGATACTATCGATCGGAAACAGATTTAACAATCGATTTATTGACTTTACGTGCTAACCAATAGCAATATATTGACATTTCGATTTATCGTGACACCCCTAGAGTAGAGTATCAGTTAGAGGGGAGCAGGGCGAGAAGGGTATTCTCAATGTGCAGATGTATGATGTTTCAGTCTGATTTGGCAGAATCCACCAGGTTTGGCATCCGTTGGTGCGTTGATCTGTTTTCGAACCCCTGGAATCGTGAATATGCGATATATGTCCGCCCTCTCGGTCACTGTAAATACATGTTCCTATTGTTCCTAATTTAATTTATTGCCGTCATCCCAGGTAAGGGCCTGAGTATCTGGGACGTGTTCACCCACGACGGATCCCTGATGCAGGATAAGGGCGCATCCGGGGACGTGGCGTGCGACAGCTACAACAAGTACCCGGAGGATATTGCCCTGATGAAGGACTTGGGGGTAAGTCTGACGCGGAAGAGGAGGGGGAGGAAAAGGGGGACTGTAATGGTACATAAACTAGGTAGCGGAGACCTACACACTCCCCGGCTGTGTTAATAATACAATGGAAGCAGACCAGTGATATACTTACCTGTGTTGGCAGGCTCACGTCATGCTATTTTACGGCCTATGCAGAGGTTAACTTTATCGAGTAAATCGACCAGACAATCCAGTGATTGGCATCATGGTATACGCTGACACGCAATCAGCGCAGTCACCGAATCTGACCTACCGATCCATTTAGTGGCCTCTCGGCTGCTGGATACCTATATTTTAAGCGGGAATTAAATGGGTTGTTAACATTATCGAACAACAGCTTGATCGTTCGATGGTGACAAAATACTTAAATATTTAAAACAGTCCGATCTAGCCGTAACTGAAATATTGTGCGGCGTTAAACAACAAACGAATAAATTTATTTTTTACATCCCTCTCGCACTCCAGAACTTACCCCTAATCCACTCACTCGTTCTCTCACTCTGTCACTCCCTCCGACTCTAGGTATCCAGCTTCCGGATGTCTCTAGCCTGGCCGAGGATCATCCCTGACCCTATCTCCGGGGAGGTGAACGAGGAGGGCGTGGCCTACTACAACCGTGTGATCGACGCTCTCCTGGAGGCGGGCATAGAACCGTCCGTCACCCTGTACCATTGGGATCTCCCCCTCACCCTAGAGGAGAAGCTTGGGGGATGGGCCAGTGAGGACATCATACCGTACTTCGTCAAGTATGCTCAAGTCTGCTTTGACAGATTCGGGGACCGGGTAAGGTTACTCCTACTCTGCCACTACAGCTTCAACTACAGATAATACTACAGCTACTACCGAGTGCGAAATCTGCACCTCCGGAAGCTTTCGTTAAGTCTCCAACATCACCATCACGATGCTATAGTATAGGTGAGGTGAGGTGAAATTGGGTTTAACGTCGCGTCCAAGATTATTGCACTTATATAGCGACGTGCATGCACGTGTGTGTGTGTGTGGCTGCTTGTACTAGTCCGGACTGATGCTGATTTATAGTGCTAGCCCACTGAGATACCATGCCGCAGTTTAACATGAATACCCCACTCAGACACAGTATACTGACTGCGAGCCGACCAGTCCTTGTTTTAGCCCTTTAATGACGAGCGCCAGACAGGGTAACAACAAGTACCATCTTTTAACGTCTTTTGGTATGACGCGGCCGGGGAACGAACCCCGGACCTTCCGCTCTCCGGGCGGTCTAAGTTTCACAGGCTACTACTGGACTGTCCAATGGTCACTCATGCTCGATTATCCGGTACTATGTCTCAAATCTGTTTTGATAAATACTCTGGGCCCGTAGCTTTTTTTTACACGTCCTCCAGCGCTTCGATCTCCGAGTCCTGCCCTTTGAAAGAAGCGGTTGCACCAGGGGTTCTGAGTATTTGTACTTATAGACTAGAGACGTTATACCCCAGATAAGAACCCGTGGCCTTTTTTACGGGCTTGACGGAAATAGCCGAACGTGAGATTGCCCGTGGTGATTACAATTACTATTTTGGTTTGGAGGTCAACTCGGGGCTTTGACCTGAATGCATGTGTGGCACCATACTCTAACGAAATGCATCGTTCACTCCACTTAACACAGCCAAAGTTGTCCAACACTGTCAGCTGAAATGTTGTTCACAGCCAGCCGAGAAGCTTGGAAGTGTAAGTGGTGTAGGGGAGGTAACTCGTGTAAACCTCAACCCGTTCGCAACTTACCTGGCAACTGCGAGTTTAAAGCCGGTGTAACAGTATTTCAGTTGTAGCGCTGCGTGTCAGCTAGATGTGGGAGGAAAGACCAAACTGATACTAGTCGGAAGTGTTTGTCCTTTTGGAAAACCACTAACACGGTATTGTGCTGACAAAACAATACTCGTGACCAGGTTGACTCGGAATTTGATACGCATAAGGGGCGCAACTCTGCCCACCAAATTCCAACGTCTGAGATGACTTGGCAACCTGTTTCCACAGAAGTTTGGATGATGCTCCCGTTTGCTCAGCATCACTTTCTCTTGTTCCAGGTCAAGCTCTGGATCACTTTCAACGAACCCGACATCTTCATCGACCACGGCTACGTCCTGGACTGGCACGCGCCGGGCCGAGCTGACTTCAAGGACATCGGGCCCTACCCCGTCGCCTTCAACGTCGTGCGGGCCCACGGCAAGGCGTACCGACTGTACGACGAGAAGTATAGAGCTACACAGAAAGGTACCGACTGTACGACGAGAAGGCTAGAGCTACACAGAAAGGTACCGACTGTACGACGAGAAGGCTAGAGCTACACAGAAAGGTACCGACTGTACGACGAGAAGGCTAGAGCTACACAGAAAGTACCGACTGTACGACGAGAAGGCTAGAGCTACACAGAAAGGTACCGACTGTACGACGAGAAGTATAGAGCTACACAGAAAGTACCGACTGTACGACGAGAAGGCTAGAGCTACACAGAAAGGTACCGACTGTACGACGAGAAGGCTAGAGCTACACAGAAAGGTACCGACTGTACGACGAGAAGGCTAGAGCTACACAGAACGTACCGACTGTACGACGAGACGTATAGAGCTACACAGAAAGTACCAACTGTACGACGAGAAGTATAGAGCTACACAGAAAGGTACCGACTGTACGACGAGAAGGCTAGAGCTACACAGAAAGGTACCGACTGTACGACGAGAAGGCTAGAGCTACACAGAAAGGTACCGACTGTACGACGAGAAGGCTAGAGCTACACAGAAAGTACCGACTGTACGACGAGAAGTATAGAGCTACACAGAAAGGTACCGACTGTACGACGAGAAGTATAGAGCTACACAGAAAGTACCGACTGTACGACGAGAAGGCTAGAGCTACACAGAAAGTACCGACTGTACGACGAGAAGTATAGAGCTACACAAAAGGTACCGACTGTACGACGAGAAGGCTAGAGCTACACAGAACGTACCGACTGTACGACGAGACGTATAGAGCTACACAGAAAGTACCAACTGTACGACGAGAAGTATAGAGCTACACAGAAAGGTACCGACTGTACGACGAGAAGGCTAGAGCTACACAGAAAGGTACCGACTGTACGACGAGAAGGCTAGAGCTACACAGAAAGGTACCGACTGTACGACGAGAAGGCTAGAGCTACACAGAAAGTACCGACTGTACGACGAGAAGGCTAGAGCTACACAGAAAGGTACCGACTGTACGACGAGAAGTATAGAGCTACACAGAAAGTACCGACTGTACGACGAGAAGGCTAGAGCTACACAGAAAGTACCGACTGTACGACGAGAAGTATAGAGCTACACAAAAAGTACCGACTGTATGACGAGAAGTATAGAGCTACACAGAAAGTACCAACTGTACGACGAGAAGTATAGAGCTACACAGAAAGTACCGACTGTACGACGAGAAGTATACAGCTACACAGAAAGTACCGACTGTACGACGAGAAGTATAGAGCTACACAGAAAGAACCGACTGTACGACGAGAAGTATAGAGCTACACAGAAAGTACCGACTGTACGACGAGAAGGCTAGAGCTACACAGAAAGGTACCGACTGTACGACGAGAAGTATAGAGCTACACAGAAAGGTACCGACTGTATGACGAGAAGTATAGAGCTACCCAGAAAGTACCAACTGTATGACGAGAAGTATAGAGCTACACAGAAAGTACTGACTGTACGACGAGAAGTATAGAGCTACACAGAAAGGTACCGACTGTATGACGAGAAGTATAGAGCTACACAGAAAGTACCGACTGTACGACGAGAAGTATAGAGCTACACAGAAAGTACCAACTGTATGACGAGAAGTATAGAGCTACACAGAAAGTACCGACTGTACGACGAGAAGTATAGAGCTACACAGAAAGTACTGACTGTATGACGAGAAGTATAGAGCTACACAGAAAGTACCGACTGTACGACGAGAAGTATAAAGCTACACAGATAGGTACCGACTGTATGACGAGAAGTATAGAGCTACACAAAAAGTACCGACTGTATGACGAGAAGTATAGAGCTACACAGAAAGTACCGACTGTACGACGAGAAGTATAGAGCTACACAGAAAGTACCGACTGTATGACGAGAAGTATAGAGCTACACAGAAAGTACCGACTGTACGACGAGAAGTATAGAGCTACACAGAAAGGTACCGACTGTACGACGAGAAGGCTAGAGCTACACAGAAAGGTACCGACTGTACGACGAGAAGGCTAGAGCTACACAGAAAGGTACCGACTGTACGACGAGAAGGCTAGAGCTACACAGAAAGTACCGACTGTACGACGAGAAGGCTAGAGCTACACAGAAAGGTACAGACTGTACGACGAGAAGTATAGAGCTACACAGAAAGTACCGACTGTACGACGAGAAGGCTAGAGCTACACAGAAAGGTACCGACTGTACGACGAGAAGGCTAGAGCTACACAGAAAGGTACCGACTGTACGACGAGAAGGCTAGAGCTACACAGAACGTACCGACTGTACGACGAGACGTATAGAGCTACACAGAAAGTACCAACTGTACGACGAGAAGTATAGAGCTACACAGAAAGGTACCGACTGTACGACGAGAAGGCTAGAGCTACACAGAAAGGTACCGACTGTACGACGAGAAGGCTAGAGCTACACAGAAAGGTACCGACTGTACGACGAGAAGGCTAGAGCTACACAGAAAGTACCGACTGTACGACGAGAAGGCTAGAGCTACACAGAAAGGTACCGACTGTACGACGAGAAGTATAGAGCTACACAGAAAGTACCGACTGTACGACGAGAAGGCTAGAGCTACACAGAAAGTACCGACTGTACGACGAGAAGTATAGAGCTACACAAAAGGTACCGACTGTACGACGAGAAGGCTAGAGCTACACAGAACGTACCGACTGTACGACGAGACGTATAGAGCTACACAGAAAGTACCAACTGTACGACGAGAAGTATAGAGCTACACAGAAAGGTACCGACTGTACGACGAGAAGGCTAGAGCTACACAGAAAGGTACCGACTGTACGACGAGAAGGCTAGAGCTACACAGAAAGGTACCGACTGTACGACGAGAAGGCTAGAGCTACACAGAAAGTACCGACTGTACGACGAGAAGGCTAGAGCTCCACAGAAAGGTACCGACTGTACGACGAGAAGTATAGAGCTACACAGAAAGTACCGACTGTATGACGAGAAGTATAGAGCTACACAGAAAGTACCGACTGTACGACGAGAAGTATAGAGCTACACAGAAAGTACCGACTGTATGACGAGAAGTATAGAGCTACACAGAAAGTACCGACTGTACGACGAGAAGTATAGAGCTACACAGAAAGGTACCGACTGTACGACGAGAAGGCTAGAGCTACACAGAAAGGTACCGACTGTACGACGAGAAGGCTAGAGCTACACAGAAAGGTACCGACTGTACGACGAGAAGGCTAGAGCTACACAGAAAGTACCGACTGTACGACGAGAAGGCTAGAGCTACACAGAAAGGTACCGACTGTACGACGAGAAGTATAGAGCTACACAGAAAGTACCGACTGTACGACGAGAAGGCTAGAGCTACACAGAAAGGTACCGACTGTACGACGAGAAGGCTAGAGCTACACAGAAAGGTACCGACTGTACGACGAGAAGGCTAGAGCTACACAGAACGTACCGACTGTACGACGAGACGTATAGAGCTACACAGAAAGTACCAACTGTACGACGAGAAGTATAGAGCTACACAGAAAGGTACCGACTGTACGACGAGAAGGCTAGAGCTACACAGAAAGGTACCGACTGTACGACGAGAAGGCTAGAGCTACACAGAAAGGTACCGACTGTACGACGAGAAGGCTAGAGCTACACAGAAAGTACCGACTGTACGACGAGAAGGCTAGAGCTACACAGAAAGGTACCGACTGTACGACGAGAAGTATAGAGCTACACAGAAAGTACCGACTGTACGACGAGAAGGCTAGAGCTACACAGAAAGTACCGACTGTACGACGAGAAGTATAGAGCTACACAAAAGGTACCGACTGTACGACGAGAAGGCTAGAGCTACACAGAACGTACCGACTGTACGACGAGACGTATAGAGCTACACAGAAAGTACCAACTGTACGACGAGAAGTATAGAGCTACACAGAAAGGTACCGACTGTACGACGAGAAGGCTAGAGCTACACAGAAAGGTACCGACTGTACGACGAGAAGGCTAGAGCTACACAGAAAGGTACCGACTGTACGACGAGAAGGCTAGAGCTACACAGAAAGGTACCGACTGTACGACGAGAAGGCTAGAGCTACACAGAAAGGTACCGACTGTACGACGAGAAGGCTAGAGCTACACAGAAAGTACCGACTGTACGACGAGAAGGCTAGAGCTACACAGAAAGGTACCGACTGTACGACGAGAAGTATAGAGCTACACAGAAAGTACCGACTGTACGACGAGAAGGCTAGAGCTACACAGAAAGTACCGACTGTACGACGAGAAGTATAGAGCTACACAAAAAGTACCGACTGTATGACGAGAAGTATAGAGCTACACAGAAAGTACCAACTCTACGACGAGAAGTATAGAGCTACACAGAAAGTACCGACTGTACGACGAGAAGTATACAGCTACACAGAAAGTACCGACTGTACGACGAGAAGTATAGAGCTACACAGAAAGAACCGACTGTACGACGAGAAGTATAGAGCTACACAGAAAGTACCGACTGTATGACGAGAAGGCTAGAGCTACACAGAAAGGTACCGACTGTACGACGAGAAGTATAGAGCTACACAGAAAGGTACCGACTGTATGACGAGAAGTATAGAGCTACACAGAAAGTACCAACTGTATGACGAGAAGTATAGAGCTACACAGAAAGTACTGACTGTACGACGAGAAGTATAGAGCTACACAGAAAGGTACCGACTGTATGACGAGAAGTATAGAGCTACACAGAAAGTACCGACTGTACGACGAGAAGTATAGAGCTACACAGAAAGTACCAACTGTATGACGAGAAGTATAGAGCTACACAGAAAGTACCGACTGTACGACGAGAAGTATAGAGCTACACAGAAAGTACTGACTGTATGACGAGAAGTATAGAGCTACACAGAAAGTACCGACTGTACGACGAGAAGTATAAAGCTACACAGATAGGTACCGACTGTATGACGAGAAGTATAGAGCTACACAAAAAGTACCGACTGTATGACGAGAAGTATAGAG